CTGAAGGAGCCTGATGTGTCAGGAACTTGAATTTGCCTTTGACATCGCCTCAGCACCACGCAGCCGGGCACTTCCAAACATATTTACTTTTCTTCTCAGTTCTGAGCTTATTCTGAGCACTTAAAGGCAATTCAAGGTCTGTGACATGGGAACAAATCTCCGTTTCCATAGCACACCAATGACCCTGCTTTCGAAGCTTGGATACCAAAACATAACAGGGGTATTTTTTTGCCAAGGGCTGATGTGCTCGTGCCCGTTTCAGCTCTTTTCAGCCTGCTCAGCACCCAGCAGAGGATTTTTCTGCCTCCGAGGCTGCTTTTTGTTCGGGAACCCGTAGTTTTGCCCACGTGCAGTTTTACTGCCCAGGTGGGCTCCCCGTTTTGGTGGTTTCCCAGGTGGGTTTCCCTGCCTCGGGATGGTTTATGCCAGCTGACAAATAGGATACCTTTTCTTTCTCTCCCGTATTGCACTCCCGTCCTCAAAATTTCTTTAATTAATTAAAATTAAATGTATTTTTCCCCCCTTTTTTTTCCCTTTTCTGCTGCAGACGTTGACGAGTGCCAGGTCCACAACGGGGGCTGCCAGCACCGGTGCGTGAACACCCTGGGCTCTTACTACTGCGAGTGCAAGCCTGGCTTTCGGCTGCACGCGGACGGCCCCTGCCTCGGTAAGGCGCAGTTTCACGTTTCTGGAGAACAAACCCATACAGTTACACTATGGGAAGGTTCCCATCCATCATTTGATTGCCTGCCCCAAAGCAGAGGCTGTGAGGCACCGGGGTGGAGCTTGGAGTCATCCTTCCCGCATCTGCTCTGCTCTTGTTTTTATTAAACCGCTTCTCGCTCGCAGCTTTATTTGACGCATTTTTCCTTTTTTTTTTTATTTTTTTTTTGAGGGATATTTTCATACAAGTGGAAAGAATTCCTGGGCACTGCTATTACAAAGGCTGTTTGCTGGTTTTTCTCTGAATACAGTCACATGCCTGAGTTTTGGCTAAAAAACGACTGTGTTGGGAGCGGGGATGTGGGCAGCCAAAACCCCCTCTGAGGACGTGGTACCCACCGTGCCCAGAGCAGCGCAAACCCCGTATCCTTCCTCATGATGTGAAGATGCTCTCACAGCGGGACATACACATAAGGTGTGAGTTCACCCAGTGCCCTGTGTTTATTTGGAAAAATCCAGAAGCCAAAGGATCACAAATAAGGAAAAAAGCCCTTTATTCCCAGCCCACTGCTCTAGCACTGAATGGGTAAACTTGAGTTCATGACTGTGCATTGCTACTCTTTGCATGTAAGTGTGGTCTGTCATGTAATAATTGTCTTTGGAATACGTAGGTTTTTGGTGGTATATAGTGATTCTGCTGCCTCTGCCTCTTAGAATAAGACAGGATAATGTTAAAAAAAAATTAATTTAAAAAATTGCATAGTTTTGCAATAGTCTTTCTAAAATAACAGCAGAGCAGACCTAAAAAATCTGGCTTTCTTGCTTCAGAACTGGTGGCTTTTGTTCTTTACACTTTGGTGACAGAAATGTGTGTATATATGTGTGTGTGTATATATATTTCTTTCTCTCTATGTATATACATGTATATATCTCACACCTCCCTAATGGCTCTGTACTCTTAAGTAAACTTACTTATTTTTCCTGTGAAAGCTCAGAGCCCAGACTCAGCGGCTGCTCCTCTGCCAGCATTCATGGCTCTGTGCACCATGGGCACCCTCGTGTCCCATTGTGTGCGCGGTGAGCACCCTTCTGCCCCTATGGATCCCATAGGGTGGTTCGTGGTTCACTGTGACGTGGCTGGGGTTTACACAGCACCAAGGGGGGATCTCGTGCCCCGGTTTTTGTCATTGCAGAGGGATGTGCTCTCCCTTTGCTGATGCTTAGGACCGAGCCCATGGCAGTCACCGTGCCGTAATCCCGGGCCCTTGAGCACCCAGGCGCTTTCGGGGCTGTTCCCACAAGTACGTGCAAGCGGCTCTTTCTCTCAGCACTTGGTCTGTGTAAATATTTACACTGCGAAGGCAGAGGCTTTGCTCCGACTTGATCGTGGAAACGGGCCGGTCTGCACTGCGCCCACATTCTTTGCCAGGGTTTGCAGCAGTGATGGAGGGCGCAGGCAGGAGGAGGCCTTGCTTGACCCTTTACACGTCCTTTTCGGGTTTTGGGACCGGGTATTTCCTGCGTGGTTCTGAGGGATTAGGTTCACTGATAAAAGTTGTGTTTCTCTGCTTTTTCTTCTCTTCTGGAGCCAGAAAAGACACTTGTGTTTTGTTGGATTGGAAGAAACATCCCCGTTGGTGCTTTGGGTCGTCCGCAGCTCGGTTGCGCAAGGCTCCTTTGTTGTGTCCTGCTTGTTCAGATACCAAATATTTTAATAGGGGATAGGGGGAAAAGAGCAGAGGTTCCTATTGAAAGTGAAACAGAACAAAAGGAGTCGCTGGACGTCCTGAAATCACCTCTTTCTGTATCAGAACCACATGGGCAGGAGGAAGCTGACATCTCCAGGTCCCCCTGCGCTGTTTTGGCAGAGGGATGAGCTCCGGGCCAGGGCCAGGAATTTCACCCGAGCCGATTGCTTGTGTTGGCTGCAGCACAGCGAGATGGCTGGGATTAACACACACCGCACGCTGGAAATTGTCTGAGGTTAGAACACATCCCTTCGGGATTACGTGATGTATCCCTGTGTACATAAAGAAATCCGAAATACAGGAGCGATTCAGCGAACAGGACAGTAGTGACGACGTCCTTTTGCTCCCTCTGTATCCACGTCCATCAGCATTGCGGAGCTGGCATCTCCCTGCAGACAGTGGGGATGGGATAACGTCCCTCTCGCAGCCCATGAAGCATCAGCTGTGGAAAAGCTGTCTGAGCTTTAATTACAAAAAGCTGTGCGACGCACAAGAGGACACTGCGTTTGGCAACCTCGCCGCAGAAATGCTAGGCTAGGAAACGCATCTGGGGATGGAAATATTTTTAGCATGTTTCTGTAAATAGAAAAAAAACAAAACCCAAAACCCTGCAGTAATTAAAACGGGGCCAGCAGCGAGGTCTGCTGGGTGTTACTCTGCAAGAGGCCAGCTAAGGAGACCCGGCATGAGAAGCCCCTCGCTTTGATGGAAAGGCACCCAGAATAATTTTAGCAAGTCTCATTTGGTTCATGTTATTGTTCCTGATTCTTGAATTAGTTTGTATCTGAGCAAAATTGCAGTGAGTTGCTCTTTTCACGAGTGCCATACAGCTCATGAGTGCCCTATAGCCTGTGATGCCCACTATTCCTTCCCCATGTGTGTTCTGGTTCCCATCACCCATCATGGCCTGGATGTACCCACCATGGCCAGGACAACAGTGCACACCAGCCCCTTCATCATCGTGCAGAACAGGGCGGCTCAGATGGGTTTATGAGTCTTGAAGACTACGTTTGCCAGCAAATAAACCAGATGAAAGGAAAGACAAGGGGAACCAAATCGCTCTTCAGGATCCCTGCGTTCTTGCTTTCTCACCTTTTACCTTCTCTTAGTGGTCTGCAAACAGCTTTGGTGGAGATCTGGTGTAAGCAGCTTTGGCACTTGGTTGTGCATGAAGACCTTGGCCAACGAGGAATGGAGATGTGTGTCCTTTTCGTTGGTGCCCATGCCCATGGTGTCCCTACCCATGGTGGCCATGCCCATAGTGCCTGTGCCCATGGTGGCCATGCCCATGGTAGCCATACCCTTCTCAAGCAGTGGCCAAGCATTGCCAAGCATTTGGAGCTTCCTCTGCCTTTCAAGGGTTGGTTTTTGCCATCGCACAGCTCCATCCCTCCACGCCTGCTGCAGAGCATCGGGTGGGCATCACACCTCAGTGCGACCCAAGAGATGCTCTGACCTTCTCCTGGGCAGAAAGGGGCCTTCTGGAAAGCCTGCTGCAGCCAACCGTGCGGGATTCCTGTCTGCTTGAGTTGTGCGTGATGAAAAAGGAACCCGCACTTGAGTTTTTCCCACTCTTCTAGGGGTATGCAAGGAGGACGGTTATTTAGGCTGCAAACTCATACAAATAACTGCATACTGGAAGGTTATTTTAGACCTAAGTTGTGATAGCTTGTTATACATTAGCCCAATACTTTTCCCATATGAAGGCACGTTTTGGCAGGCATTAGCATCATTTTACTTCTTTTTTTTTAAAAAAGCCCACTCCAAGACAAACAAGCACATTATTTATGGGTATTTTTGACATATATGATACTAAACACTTTAACAGATCAGAATATTTTAAAGTGACCACCCATCCGTGCTGGAGCTCGAGCGCTGTAACTCTGACCCGTAACTTTTTTAGGAACGTCGACTATTTCTGTTTGCTTCCAAACGGATTAAGGGAAACGACGTCAGCACAACTGCGAATCTGACAGTTCTTGCTCCAGCCGGGTGTTGTGTATGGCAGTGCTGCGGCTCCACTAAGCCACTCCTATTCCCCTAAATGGTGTTCAGTTAATTAGGGGCATGCAAAGGGAAGTCACAGCTTTTAAGAGTTCAAACTTTTCCTCCAGTGCCAAATATTTGGGGTTTGTTTTTTTTCCACTAGCATACAAGGGAGGCTTAACCAAATCCCTTGCATTACTTTGTCAATAGAAAAGAGTTGTTTGAATACTTGGCCGAGGCATCGGCACCCGACGGCCACTCTCGAGGGCACTGTGATTACCTGAAGTGCTGCTCTGGGGAGAGATGTTTTTTCATTAGAGACTTATTTAGCTTTCTTATGAGATTCCTCAGAGTCAGCACATGAGTTTATTACTGAAAAATAAGTCAGAAGTGTGCAATACCTCACCTCCTGGTACCGTTCTGGTGGGTGAACGGTGCCGTTCCCGCAGGCTGGTGACAAGGTGTGCACATTTCCAGTTAAACCTCGCTTCATTTTGCACTTATTCTGCAGAAAATCCCAGACTGTAGGCACTGAGAGTGGGGGAGAAGGCTATTTTAAGGCTGATTAATAACAGTGAGCTTGTACAGAGAAGACAGCCCACATATGTGGTCGTGAGATCTGTTTTCGGGCCGTAGCCTAGGCAAAACCTCCTGTTTTCGGGCCGGCCTTGCGCAAGGCCACACAGCAACACCAGTGGGGAGCCGCAATTCCCAGTCCCGCCTGCGCTGGGGATGAAGTCACGGCTCCCACCCCCAGTTTCTGCGTGCTGGGCTCTGCTGGTCGCAGCATCGGCGACTCGCAGACTGATAACTTCCATGTAGAAATCTCCTAGTAAAAGCTCTGAGCTACACCCCATTGAAGGGGGGACATGCAGGATGCATCCTAAAGTGTTTTTCCTTAAGTCTTTCCAGAAGAACCAATGGTACCTGCTGGGTACCCTGTGTAATCAGTGCCTTTTTTGCACAGTGTGGGCCCACAAACCTCATTTCCCACTAAACTTTGAAAACCTGAACACACCTGAGCAGTAATTAGGCCAAACCAGCCGCAGCATCGCGTCTGCGGTGCCTTTGGACAAATTAATGAGAGTTTTGGCCATAAAGTCAACCCAACCCCACCGTGCCCATTAAACCATGTCCCAGAGTGCCACCTCTACACAATTTTTGAACCCCTCCAGGGATGAGGACTCCATCACTGCCCTGGGCAGCCCCTGCCAGTGCTTGGCCACTCTTCCAGTAAAGATATTATTCCTAATATCCAATGTAACCCTTCCCTGGTGCAACTTGAGGCCGTTTCCTCTCACCCCGAGCAAAAAGACTCATCCAGGTGCCCTCATTTGTGTGACGAACTCTCCGTCCCTTTGCCTTGCAGCCGTGCCCTCCTGCGCCCTCAACAACGGCGGCTGCGAGCACGACTGCGTGCAGGTGACGCTGGCACAGCACCGCTGCCAGTGCCGCCACAACCACCAGCTGCGGGAGGACGGCAAGAGCTGCGTCCGTGAGTCCCTCCAGCGCGCACGGCCTTTTCGTCGGGAATTTGATGGGGTTGGGGAGCGGGCACTTACCCCTGCCTGCACGGAGCGGTGAACGGCAGCAGGGATTTTGGCTGGTGAACGCTCTGTCACAGATTGCAGAGTGTTTTGTTAGGTGTAACTGCTCGATGCTGTATTTCCCTGTAAGTATAAAGCAAATAAGAGCTGGGATTAGTGTGCAATAACCCCTGCTCCTCTGCTCCGGCCCACAGTGAGGAACCCCTGCGCTGACAGGAATGGGGGCTGCATGCACCGCTGCCACAACCACCGAGGGACGGCGCGCTGTGACTGCCACCCCGGCTACCGGCTGGCGGCCGACAACAGGGCCTGCGAAGGTAGGGAAGGTCCTTGCGAAGGGAAGGAAGGGCCTGAGAGCAAAGCTTTTTTGGGGAAAAACCACCCTCTCTTCACAGGGTGATGCTCAGTAATTTGTGAGTTTAAGGGAGCGATGCTCCAGCCCTCCTGAGGGGTGGCATGAAAGTGCTCAGTTGATGCCTGTCCAACAGCCTTGCTTAAGTTGTTTGGAGCTTGAGCTTCATGTGATGTGATTTTCCAGGAATTCACAGCAGTTCTGAGCTCTTAACTCCATTTTTTTCTTTGCCCGGACCCCAGCGGAGAATTTAGGGTGCGCGAAAGCAGCGAAAAACTCAAAGATAGCAGCAAATGTCCCTTTGAAAGGGTCTGTGTCTCAGCCTGGTCCATGGCCCGTCTCTTGCAGACGTGAACGAATGCCTGACGGGAGCAGCCCTGTGCGCTCACCAGTGCCTGAACACGCGCGGCTCCTTCAAGTGCACTTGCAACCCGGGCTACGAGCTGGGGGCGGACGGCAAGCGATGCTACCGTGAGTACCGCACCTCGAGCCGCCTCGGGAGGGGAGGGTTTGCTGCTGGGAGTGCCCAAAAGGCAGTGATGGGGTGGTGCCTGCAGTGGGATGCCATGCATCATCCCCAGGGAATTGGTGGGGCAGAGTCAGAGCAATCTATTCTGGAGAATTTCACCAGTTATTTGGGGGCTGTTTACTCCCCAACCAAGGTAAAACACTTTGTGTGATCTTTAAAGCTACCATTGGAGCTACTTTTGCAGGTTTAGGCAGTTTATCTGGAGCCGTTTGGCTCCAAACTGGCCAAGTCTTGCTCTGGGGGACGGGGCTGGATGAGCTCAGTTTGCTGCAGATGTGCAACCGAAGGAGCTGATCACATCTGCTGCCATCGGGAACACAAATAAACACCATTACGCAGGAATGAGCCAGCTTGTCCAGCTTTGTTCAGCTAATTCACAGCAGCAGGGATTGTCCAACGCGGAGCCATCAGCAGATGAAAGCCACCACAGCAGTCCCAGTGCTGGCAGCTGGTGTTACTGGGAGCCGTGATGCTCCACCAGTGCAGCTCTCTCTGGGAGCCTGACAGGGGTACAAAGGCAAGGCTTTGCAGACCAAAAACGGGTCTCTAAAGGCATCAAACTGTGAGGAGCCAGGCTGATGATACGCTATTTAAGAGCCTACACATGCACCCACCTTTGCTCCTAGGAACATGGTTTATCTCACACTGCATATTCTGTAAAGGATACCCCACAGCTCAGGTTTGGGATGCCAGCCCTGGAGGGCCCCTCCTGACTGGGGGACACTGGGACCACCAGCCCTGCTCACGTTATACCATGGCTCATCCAGTTGTTGGGACTCATGGCCAATGCCTCTGCTGTGGTGCAATTCTACAACTGCGTGCAACTTCTACAACTAAGGAGCCTTCTTGCATGCACAAGGTTTTCCCCTGGCCCTTTTCACACATTTCCTTTATGCAAAACCCTGATCTTGCATTAGGAGAAGGAAAGAGGGACTTGATTCATGCTGTGAAATTTTTTAAGAGCGTCTTCCACCGCGGCACAGCTTTGGTTTTTGACATGCACAGACCCATTGGGCAGCACCAAGCTCCCCTTCTTTCACCCTCCCTGGCTCTGAACACACCAAAAAAATGTTCTCGAAGGCAGAAATTGTTTTCCTGAGGTTGAGGCCTGAGTCAAAGCTCCACAATAGGAGTTACTTTTAGTTCAAGAAAACTTAATTAACTAGACTGAAGTTTACACGAACTTTGCCAAGCCAAGATGATGCACGGCTGCTATTGATGTTTGTGCCTACCATTTTTGACGTGTCAGGAACTCGCATTTCTAGCTGGAGGCATCTGGCCGTTTCCATAGCGAGCTGTGCTCTGCTGCTCCCATTTCTCACTGGCATCCAACAGCTCTGTACTCTCGACGGAGCCAATTTTGGGTTGGCAGCACACGCTGCAGCTTCTCGGGAAGGGGAGCAGTTTTGGTTCCTCTCTCAGAGGTTTGTCCAGAGCCTGCTCCACGAGCCTGTCCCTAAGAGGGTTTATTTTTACACATCCCTTCCCAGCAGTGGCCTCTGTGGAAGGCTATTTCCATCCTTGGCCCATCCCTTGGCTCCTGGGCAGAGCACATAAACGCATGTGCGAGGAGCTGCCCGGTGGGTGCCCAAGCACAGCACCAGTGCACACCAGTACGCGGAGCCCTAACCAGTCTGTCCTTTCCAGGGATAGAAATGGAGATCGTCAACAGCTGCGAGGCCAACAACGGTGGCTGCTCCCACAGCTGCCACCACACCAGCTCCGGCCCGGTCTGTACCTGTAATTTCGGCTATCGGCTCGAGCAGGACCGGAAGACGTGCACTGGTAAGGCAGGGGAAAAGGCACACCTGGCTTGTCCAAACACATCCCAAATATCAATGAGGATCTCCATATGTTAGCTGCTGTATGCGTATGCACTACAAGTGGGTTAACAGGGCTAGAAACAGATGCAAAGGTAAAGGGAATATTACTCTACTTGGAGACATCCTCAATCCTCTGCCCAAGACCTACCTGGACATCAAATTATGACTGCGGAGCTGGTTTTTCCCTGCTGAAACTGGTCTAGGGCAGCCCTGGCAGATAGAAACTCGCACCTCAGATACCTGCAAACCTACGTCTCAAAGGGACGAATCTCGAACTGCACCGTCTTGCCTGTTATCTGGGAGGGAGCAGCGGTGTAATTTGGGTAAATGAGTGATGTGGGTGAGTCACTGCCTGCGAGCCAAGAGCAGCTCAGCCCCATCCAGTTCTATGCAGTATTAATGGGGACGTGAGGGTGAGAGGGTGAAACACACCTCCAAGCTCTGTAAATGCTATAGACTTGGGGCCATACAACGTTGCAACTTGGGAGCAAAAAAGCCAGGTCCTGAGGTGCTGTTTGCCCTGAAAGAACGTTGCTCCTTTGCATGCTGCAAAGCCCAGTCCTCTTTCTGCAGCCCAGTCCAACTTTCTGGAGCCCCAGAGCTATTTATTTTCCTACCAGACACCTCCATGGCCCAGCCCCCTCAGGTGGTAAGGAGGTGTTTCACAAACCCCTCTACTACACAGGCACCGTGGTCATTCCACTTCAGAGTGAACAAATGGTGTCCCATAAACACCAGGGCTGGAAATTTAAAGCTGCAGGAGCTCTGTTTTCTCTGGGTTATCTCCATCCATCCTGCAGAGGCTTCGCTCTGAAGGGACCATACAGTCCTCCCGCATCTCTGAGGTTAACACCAGTGTTTGTAACAGGGTAAATCAGAAAGCCAGAGCCAGTATTATGGTTTGAATCATCCCCTATCTGTAAGCACACAAGACCTTTAAGAACAAACTCAAATTGAAAAATCCCAGTTAACTTCCCACAAGCCCCTAGGATTTAGGATTCCTCCCATGCCCAGGGAGCACATGGATGATCTGTTCACATGAAACTCACTCATTTCTAGAGGAAAACAAGAATTCTAGCTCGGCATTTGCAGTCAGAGCAGCAACGCTCACCAGAACCAGTCACTGACACTTCTAACAAGTGCTGTCCCCCACAAATGCTGGCTGTGTGGTGACACACAGCGCCCTTTGGTTCTTATCCAGACATCAACGAGTGCGACAGCGGCTCCCACTGCTGCCAGCAGGACTGCTACGATTACCCCGGCGGCTACGAGTGCGCCTGCTACGCTGGCTACCGGCTCAGCGCCGACGGCTGCGGCTGCGATGGTGAGCAGAAACATCCAGCGAGGACACGGCCTCATGGCACAGCAAGAAACGCACAGAGAGGGCTCCCCTAATTCTGGTTTTGGGTCTTTTTTTCCAGCCCCAGCTATTCCAACCCCTACACTAGCCCAGCACATCCAAAGAGCGAGGCTTTTGAGGGCACTGAGTGCCAGTCAGGGTACCTCAAAGTGAGCTGGTCCCAGTCTGACTCCATTAATTCACAGAAATCACTTTGCGTTCGACCCCAGAGGCCCTCAGTGCCCATCGTTTTCACCCAAATGAAAGTGTCTGCGTAAAACACAGTAAAGACTAACATAAGTTTTGCTAAAGAGAGCAAGAAGTTGTCCTACATGGCTGCGAATGGCCACGCATTTCTCCCAGTTTCTCCCCGCTCATAACAGTTTTCTGTCACCTCTCCAATGGTGTTGCCTTCTTAGCACACAGAATTTGGGCTTTTTCCCTTCTCATGAGTTGTTCTCACTCCCATGACAGCTCACAGGTGAGAAGCCAAGCTTACCCACCTGGTTCTATACCGTTACTGACAGATGTGAGCTGAAACCCAGGGTTCTCTGAGTAGTTTGGGAAGTCTTACCCAAATTTTAGGGTCTGATGGCTTCACACGATGCCACCAGGCTGCCTGCTGACCTGAGGACAGAGCCATATTTGGGTCCCTGTCCTGTACAGAGCCATGTCCCCATGATATAGGTGTATTCCCTGTTTTCCAGATGTGGACGAGTGCTCGTCAAACAACGGCGGGTGCGAGCACACGTGCCTGAACCAAATGGGCTCCTTCCAGTGCGGCTGCGAGCTGGGACACAAACTGGACGAGGACCAGAGGAGCTGCATCCGTAAGGGCATCCCCTGCACACCATAAGGGGTGGTGGACCAGTAGGACCAGTACATTGCTCCTTAACGCTGCAAACCCCATTTCCACAGCACTCAACTACTGTTAGCGGTGGAAACCTCTCCCTGCACCAGTGGAAAGCGTTCCCCTGATGGGACCAGTCCCATTTCAGCCACGTAGCACGGCGCTTTCCAAAAAAGCACAGGGGATTTTGGCACAGCTACTCTCAGGGCAGCCTGCGTTGATGGCTCCGTGGCAACCACAGGACCAGAACCCTCTCCTCTATTTTTCCTTATAAAAAAATAATAGGTTTATCTTAAGTGGTAGCATCATTATCTCCCCCCAAACACACCATTACCCCACTTACTGACCTCACAGGGCAGCCAACTCTTCAACCAGCCACCCCCAGGTCCCTGAAAAGGCTTCCCAAGGTCTGGAGCCAAAACAGCAGCACCCAGCACCTCCCCACCATAGCAAAATACCTGAGCCTACCCTTGCCCCATGGCTTTTATAGCCCCCAGCCCTGCTCCAGCTCCCAAGTGCGCCTGGGCCCCCCTGATTGCTGCTGTTTTAACCCTTTCCCACTTGGCGTGGGAAGGAAACCTGCAGCTGTACCTGAGAAATACTCCTCCCAAAAGGAGAACCAAGCTGAAATGCATGGCTTGATTCTGTTAGATGAGCAATCTTGTTTAATTTCCTAGAAAATAACTGATTTTGCTGAAAACTCCAAGAAGCGGAGCGACTCAGGGCTCTGGTGATGGTCACCCACCCAAGGAGCTGTTTGTCAGGGTTAGGATCACAACTGGTCCTGTCTATTTTGAAGATATTTAGGTGCCCTGCGCCCATTCTAGCCAAAGCAAACACACAAACTACAAAAGCATGAGAGGTGTCTCATATAGAGACACCTTTAATATGTCTTTAATATAGAGACCAGTGTTGCAAACGGCGCCAAATTGGGTGCGCCAGCCCTGTGCAGACACCCCTGGTTTCCCTTTCCCATTGCAGAGGCTCTGTCCCACCCTTCACCTTCCTCATCTCTCTTTCCCCACGCTGACACTGCCGTCTCCATCGCTGTTTCCCCAGCCATAGAGGACCTCGTGGAAGCTCTGGACGGCCAGCGCCCCATGATCCGCCCCATCCCTCACGTCGCGATCCTGCGGGATGAGTTCACCCAGCTCTTCAACGACGACTACGAAGAGGAGGAGGAAGGGATGGAAGCGAGGGGAGAGCACACGCTCTCAGAAAAATTCGGTGGGCATTTTGCAGTGGTGGTAAATGGCATATTTTGCTTGCAAGGATTAATCCTGCATGCTGGGTTTTATGAACGTATCCACGAGACTCATCGAGTGTCTTTTCTATGTGCACAATGTGTGTTACAGCACAGATGCATTTAGATTTGCCACAGCTCATGTTCAGGCGGGTTTCTCTGCCCAAATCCTTTGAGATCCCTCAGGAAAGGCTTTTCACCCGTATCTATCACCTCTTGTTGCAGTCTGCCTGGAGCGCACCTTCGGCCCCGACTGCAGCCTGACCTGCCAGGACTGCCAAAACGGGGCTGTGTGCAATGCCGAGGAGTCTGGCTGTGACTGCCCGGCCGGCTGGACCGGCGTCCTCTGCAACCAGAGTGAGCCACGCTGGTGGGCGGGGGAGCAGGATGTGGGGAAGAGGGGATGCAGAGATGTGGGGATGCAGGGATGAGGGGATGTGGAGATGAGGGGATGCAGGGATGCAGTGATGCGGGGATGTGGTGATGGGGGGATACAGGGATGAGGGGATTCAGGGATGAGGGGATGCAGGGATGGGAGTTGTGGGGATGAGGGGATGCAGGGATGGGGGATGTGGAGATGAGGGGATGCAGGGATGCAGCAATGCGGGGATGCGGTGATGGGGGGATACAGGGATGGGGGGATTCAGGGATGAGGGGATGCAGGGATGAGGGGATGCGGTGATGAAGGGATGCGGTGATGAGGGGATGCAGGGATGGGGGATGTGGGGATGCAGGGATGAAGTGATGCAAGGATGCGGGGATGACGGGATGAAGGGATGCGGTGATGCAGGGATGCAGCGGTGAGGGGATGCAGGGATGTGTGGATGCAGGGATGGGGGATGTGGGGATGCAGGGATGAAGTGATGCAAGGATGCGGGGATGACGGGATGAAGGGATGCGGTGATGCAGGGATGCAGCGGTGAGGGGATGCAGGGATGTGTGGATGCAGGGATGGGGGATGTGGGGATGCAGGGATGAGCTGATGCAAGGATGCGGGGATGAGGGGATGAAGAGATGCGGTGATGCAGGGATGCAGCAGTGAGGGGATGCAGGGATGCGTGGATGCAGGGATGTGTGGATGCAGGGATGGGGGATGCGTGGATGCAGGGATGCGGGGATGTGGGAATGAAGGGATGTGGGGATGCGGGGATGCAGGGATGTGGGATGCGAGGATGCAGGGATGCTGGGCCTGCAGAGGCTGCACATGGGAATAGCTCAGCCCCGTCTCTCTCACCCAGCTTGTCCGGCCGGCACCTTTGGGAGGAACTGCAGCCAGCTCTGCCAATGCCAGAACGGCGGCACCTGCGACCCCGCCACCGGTGCCTGCCGCTGCCCGCCCGGTGTGGCTGGAGAGCTCTGCCAGGACGGTACGACCACAGCTCCCCACCACCCACATTGCGATGCAGGGATGGCAACTCCCTTCGTTCTCCCCCTGGGGATGGTGATTCCCTTTGTTCTCCCCATGGGGATGCTGATCCCCTTCCTTCTCACCCCAGCCCTCAGCCAGGCAGGGGGACCTGGCAGGGTGCGGGGTGTCTCGCCTCGCCGCACAAAGGCAGGACAACACCTCTGCAAGGCCCCAAAATCAAGCTCAGAGCACCGCAGTTTTCTCCCTAAATCGTTTTCCTGTATGGAATAGCAATAGTGAGCTGTGAGTGATGCTCCCCAGCCTGCAGCAGCAGCTCCTTTCGGTTCCCTTGCCGTGTTAGCGGACCCTTTGCCATAATTTCACAAATGGCCGTGACAGCCACCCCTGATGCCACCCTTTGATCTCCCACTTCTGCTTCTCTGAAGCCCTAAAACATTTTCCACAGACTGCCCTGCACTGTGCCCTTTGTAGCTGCTCGCTGAAGGCACCGCTCAGCTCTTTTCCAGTTGAGCCCTCCCAGTGTGAGCAGCTCCAACTCATCCCTGCTCCTTCTGACTCGCTGCGTCACCCACTCTTGCGTAGGAAAAATGTCTTTTTAATAAGGAAAAGCCAGTAAAGGGGATTCTTCACCCTGGCACAGTGCTTGGGGCTGTGTGCCTTGTCTTGGCACTGGAAAACCCTTGCAGTCCCTGATTGCTGCTCAGCACTGACCATGGGCAGCCAATCTGTATTTCACCAGGCATCCAGCGGCAGACACAGAAAAGAACATCAGAAAATGGATGTTGAGGGGTAAATTTACAGAACTGTGGAGGTGTTTTCCACTGCAGAAAAACCTTGTGAAGCTGTGACAGCAGCAGTTACCCAAAGCACTGCAGAAAGCAATGCCACTCGCTGGTGGTGGGTATTTGTACTCCCAAGGAGTTAAAATCTGGGGGACATAATCAAAAAACACAGGAAGAGAGAGACAAGAAGAGATTCAAATGAAATGAATTCGGGGGAAAGGTTTGGAGCATATGGGAACGATTACTGCAGGAGACCGAAGCAGAATGTAAATGGATGCAAGAGATACCCGGGCTTTCCTTTCTGTAGGAAGGAGGCGGTCGAGGGGCACAGAGGAAACAGGAAGGTGAGAGTAAAATAAACACGGAGAGCTGCTCTGTGTGCCAGGGCGGCATTTCCTGGATGGAAAAATTGACTTCTGAGAGGCCATCTGATTTTTACCTGACTGCGTGCAGGCACAAGCGCATCCTGGCCCGCAGAAAATCCCAATTCTTTCAGCCCTCCCCACATCCTTTGCCTCAGTTCATTTTGGTGTTACACAGCCTTGGGTTTGGTTTTTTTTCCCGTGGTCAACTGGCAATGAAACGACGGGCAGAAATTGGCTCATCTTCCCCCCCAAAATCTCTCTCTGTCTGTTCCTAGGGTGCCCTAAAGGGTTTTTTGGGAGACAGTGCAGGAAGAAGTGCAACTGCGCCAACCGGGGCCGTTGCCATCGGATTTACGGAGCCTGCCTGTGCGACCCTGGCTTGTACGGACGGTACTGCCATTTAGGTACGCTCGCCCTCACCTTTTTCATGAGATATCTGTTACATTCTGGGATGGCAGCCTTTCGAGGTACCACCCTGGGTGGCAAATCTTCCATCCCTTGCCCCATGGGTCACCGACCACCTCTTTCCACCCCCTCAGCTTGCCCCAAGTGGGCATTCGGCCCCGGCTGCTCCGAGGAGTGCCAGTGCGTGCAGCACAACACCCAGGACTGCGACAAGAGGGACGGCTCCTGCCGCTGCAAACCCGGCTACCGCGGCAAGCGCTGCGAGAGCGGTGAGCGGCCCGCAAGCCTTCACTGAGCATCCCCCTTCTCCTTCTGCATCCCCTTCTCCTTCCACATCCCCTTCTCCTTCCACATCCCCTTTCATCTTCTGCATCCCCTTCTCCTTCTGCATCCCCTTCCCCTTCTGCATCCCCTTCCCCTTCTGCATCCCCTTCTCCTTCTGCATCCCCTTCTCCTTCCACATCCCCCTTCTCCTTCTGCCTCCCCTTCCCCTTCCACGTCCCCTTTCCTCTTCTGCATCCCCTTCTCCTTCTGCATCCCCTTCCCCTACTGCATTCCCTTCCCCTTCTGCATCCCCTTCCCCTTCTGCATCCCCTTCCCCTTCTGCATCCCCTTCCCCTTCTGCATCCCCTTCCCCTTCTGCATCCCCTTCCCCTTCTGCATCCCCTTCCCCTTCTGCATCCCCTTCCCCTTCTGCATCCCCTTCCCCTTCTGCATCCCCTTCCCCTTCTGCATCCCCTTCCCCTTCTGCATCCCCTTCCCCTTCTGCATCCCCTACTCCTTCTGCATCCCCTTCTCCTTCCACATCCCCCTTCTCCTTCTGCATCCCCTTCTCCTTCCACGTCCCCTTCTCCTTCCACATCCCCCTTCTCCTTCTGCATCCCCTTCTCCTTCCACGTCCCCTTTCCTCTTCTGCATCCCCTTCTCCTTCTGCATCCCCTTCCCCTACTGCATTCCCTTCCCCTTCTGCATCCCCTTCCCCCTTAACTCATTTTCTTGGGGAAAAGCTCATTTCCACCCTCCTAAAACTGTCTCGCCTCTTGTTGTTTAGATTAGGAGCCAAATGTTCCATCAGGCTCACAAGTGTGGATGGTGGCCCCATACCCAGCCATGAGCTCGGGGGGTGCTGGTCCGTGCCCATCGCTGCAAGCTGGGGCTGTTGGGCATGGACCAGCACCCTGCCATTGATTAAAGGCAGATATTCTATCTTTGTAATGCTGCTGGCAGGCTGTGACCCTGGCTATTACGGGGATGGCTGCAAGAGGAAGTGTAGCTGCTCTGCAGAGGCGTCGTGCGACCACGTCACGGGCGAGTGCAGGAAGGAATGTCCCCAGGGCTACCACGGGCAGGACTGCGACCAGGGTAAGGCACTGCTTACACGAGCTGTCAGCTCCTAGTTCCTCATACGTACAGCCTTTTTCTTCACAAAACAACGGGAAAGGCCTCCAGGAACAACTCCTGAATGAGCAAAAAGGTGGAGTGGCTTTGGAGGGCACCAGAGCTGCCGCTCTCAGGGCTGGGTAAAACGCTGCGATGGTCCAAAGTGGGATTTCTCGTGCATGATGGCTCAGAAAAGAAGAACAAGGTCGCACCTTATCCCATCTCTTGGGCATCTTGGCTTTTGCAGCCGAAGGTGACAGATACCTCATTTGCTTTGCCCCCACTTTGATGCCTTTTGACTTCCAGGCAATCAGTGCCCAGCAGAACGATACCAGGTTTTCCTCTCGGTTCTCCATTTCATATTTGATCTCCAAGTGGAAAAGAAAGTTTTACATTTAATGTCTGTTAGGAATTAACCTTCTGCTTCTGGAGCAGCTTTCTGCCTGTCACATAAGAGGTCAGTTGACAGGATGGTAATTAAACTACGGAGCTTTTCAGGATCCCAGGGTGGTTGGGGTGTCCCGGAGCTTGACTTTCTCTGAGCAAAGCTGTCTGGAGCGAGCCGCGTGGCCGTGAGTCACTGGCACGAGGTGATGACTGCAAACGTGAACGCGGTTCTTGGAAAACAGAGATTTCTGCCAGCCACCACTGAAAAGCCAGCATCCCCCTCCCGTGGGGTTGTCTCCTTCCCAATCACACCTCAGCTGCTGGGATCCGACAGAAAACACAGCTCTTGAAGCCCACACCTGAAGTCCCATTGCATTAAGAGGTGGTCAGCATCTCGATTTTGCATCCAGCATCCCAGTTTCTGCACTGATTTCTGCTTAACCAAGCATTCCATCCACGCCCAACCCAGAAGTTAGAGCAATTAACCTAATTAAGCTGCTAGCACGTGATTGTCTTGCCTAACAGCACAACTGACGGAAGGTGGCTGCTGTTCAGAAAGAAAGCTGCAGGTTATCACAAAAATTCCCAATGCTAATGGAGCAATAGCAACAGGAGGGATGGGAGCAGCTTTTGCAGGGCTTGTGCCCCCACACAGGGGTCCTGGCAGCCCTGGACCCCCCCATGGGGGACGCTGCTGCCCCAGAGCCAGGGCACCATGGCGGGCTGGCCGCGTTGGGTCGGGTGTTTTTAAAAAGAATAGGAAAGGAGCTGGAGCCCATAGAGGGGGAGTCACAGGAAATAACACAAATATTTGTATAGAAATAGTAGGCTCTTGGCTGTTGTTCGGGTCTGGAAATTATTAAAGGGTGAAGACAAACATCTGCCATCAATTAGCAAAGAGGAGGAATAACAAAAACTCCTCTGTGTCACTTGAAATCTCCGCTCTGGTGTGCGGTTCCTGCCCGGTTTGTGGATGCTGGTGTGTTTGCATCCCTGCAGCCTTACGGAGCATCGGCTGCAGTGAACGAAGAGGACCCCGAGCACAGAGCTCTTTTGGGTTTGAGGATCTTAGGGTCCAAGGTGCTGAGCCTGCACAGGATGAGAGTGCAAAGAGCAAACCCAATATTGTGACACTGGTCTGGCATTGCAAGCAGCGCGACGGAAAAGCGCCTGCTCCTCCTGTGTGTGCGGATGCTCCTTCTTCACCACTTTATAGCAATATACCAAACCCTGCTGCTGCTTAAAAACCCGGCTTCCAGACTCCAGAGACTTTTGGTTATGCTGGATGTTATAAGGTTATTTATACGTTATAAGGTTATTTATAAGTTATAAGGTTATTTATATGTTATGTGCTTCACTTAATGAAGTCCAGTACGTGTTTGGAGGGTGGGAACCCGCTGCTCATCATCCCAACACAGGGAGAGTCGCTGCCCCTGGGATGGGGGCGGTTGATGGGGGTACCCCCTTGGGACACCCACCCAGGCAGATGTCACAGCGCTGTTTTCCACGCAGAGTGTCCCGAG